GCTGCAAAAGCAGACATCCGTCTGCTCTCAGAGACCAACACAGCAACAAAACGCATCTCAGCGATGACAGCTAACTTGCTCTTGGTGTCTACTGGGTAAGCTCTGTCTCTCTACCTGCAGCATGCAGGGATGTTGTGTTTATTTTGCTCCAGACAGGAGCAATGCAGTGTCCTACTTATCACCTTGTGCTTAGAAGGGTACTTGAAGGAGCTACTGAGGTACACAGAAGATCTGGGACATATCTTAATAGGAAGCAATCTTCTTATCCAAGGTCTAACCTTGACATAGAAATCTTTAGGTCTTTTCCTCTTTCCTTAGTAATCTTACTCCCTTCCCTGCTCCTACCTTCTTTCCCTTTCCTTTCAGTGTGAGAGCTACCAATCTGCAACTACCCTTTCATTCTTCAGGAATAGTAAAAGGATTTTAAAAAAGCATAACAAGCCCAATACACAATACTTTACTAACAGAGGCAGCTTTCACTCTCAATCACCTTCAGCACCAATTTAGACAGAACCTGGGATGCTGCTTGTTGCACATTCTACATAGATGTTGTTGTTGTACAAAGTATGGTGAAGACAGCTCTTATTAGCAGTATATAGAGTGGAAGTCACCTACTTTTGCATATATATATATATATATAGACAACTTCATTGCATACCACAAAAATAACAATAATTTCAGAATCAGATTGAAGATATCAACCAAACAAAAGTTGTATCTTCAATATGGAAAGCTCTTCCATTTTTATAATTACAATTTACTATGAAATTGGTACTCAGAAGTTTCTTTCTCTGTGTCACTGAGACAGCTATTTACTATGAAAAACATACCAAATTTTGCCAAAAATGTAATAACCACACATCTGTTATTCTTCAAACATATATTTTCTAAAACAGTTGGTATTTACTTAACATATAATAACAGTTATTAAATCATTCTTAAGTCTGTTTTGTGGAACTGTAATGTAAAGCATTACACATATAAGAGAAACATATAAACATATAACATATAAACATATAACATATAAAAGGGAATATGAGTGTTGTTAGTAGCTGAGTAGTTACTAGTCACATTAGAAACTACAGCTCAGAGAAGCAACGCAAGAGGAAGACTGGAAGTCTGGAAACCCCACAGGACAATGAGTTTTAAGAGATCCAGTGCCTTCCATTTAAAGTTTTGAAATTATTAGATCATTTATAGGTCAACAAATATGTAATAACAGAAGACATTTCTGTAATCATTATTGAATCTACTAATCAGGGGCATAAGCTTCATCACCCGGTGGCTCAAATTAGAGAAATTTAGGTGTTTAAAGAAGTCCTTCTTTTGGTTTTAATTTTCTGCACTGTGGCAGCATTTCCGCAGCTGCATTTCCTCAGTACTGGCTATGGCTCGTTCCAGGCTCTGCACTGCAAGCCTCACCCCAGCCATGAGCTGGAAAGTCACTACTGACAGCATTACAGAATAAGACCAGCTCCATGACTGACCTGATCCTCTTTCCTTTTGAATTTTAACAGGTTTTGTGCATTAAGCTCTTCTAATTGCCAGCATAGCCAGGAAACAAGCACAGTCACTGTTAATTGTTCGTAACTATTTCACTTGAGATTTCAAGTGAGCCTCCTAGCACCAGGAAGAGAGGAAATGGCCTCAATCTGAGCCAGGGGAGGTTCAAGTTGGACATCAGGAAGAATTTCTTCACTGAAAGGGTGGTTAAACATGGGAAAGGGCTGCCCAGGGAAGCTGTAGAGTCATTATCCCTGGAAGTGCTCAAGAAACAACTGGATGTGGCACTTAATGCTGCGGTTTAGTTGACATGAAGGTGTTTTCTCAAAGATGAACCTGGAGGTCTTTTCCAATCTTAATGATTTTAAGATTCTAAGATATACACTGGGTCCTGAATGCGACTGAAAATATCTTAAGCCTGTGAGATGAACAATGTCTTTTAAAACATATTTTTAGTCATTTTTGGAACAAAGTACAGTACTGCTTTACAGACATTTTTATGTGTATGTGGGTGCCATTTAAACAAGCCCCAATAACGAAAAATAATTCCCACGTTAACATTTGCAAAAAAAGCCATCTTATCCATAAATCTACTTTTTTTGGCTTAATAAAGGTTATTAAAGAAACCATTAAGGTTGCTTGACATGAAAGTATCACTCATGCTTAGCATTTTTGCTGAGCTTTCTTCTTTCTTGTAGGACAGTACTATATAAGCCAGTATTTCCCATAATTCTTAAAATGTGTCCACAATTTTCTTCAGAAAATACAGTCAGGGACTGCAGTCTATATTATCTTGGACAAAGGTGATGACTACCATAGTATGTTACAATTAGCTAATTTGTAATGTCTTGAAAAACAATCAATAATATAAAGGCTTTCATTTAAATCTATGAAACCCACATTTACCCCTTTTAATTGAAAAGCTCTTAACTACAGTCATTTCCTGGATATAAAGCTGCTTTACTCGAGCTCCAGCATTTTTAATTTCTCTCGCATTGAAAAGCAGCATCCTTAGCTCACAAGTAATGCTTACATAAAAGCCTCACAGCCAGATCTCTTGGTGCCACAATGTTTTTCAGGATATGAAGACAAAAGCAATGTAAGCACTCTACTATTGCAGAATAAACACCATGTAGCCACAAAGGAGTGGTGACATCACCTGTGAATTATCTGCACTTAATTTTCTGTAATGTAAACTGACTGTCCATATCTCCTGTTCCTCAACCCTCTCTAAAAAGTTTGTTGAGAAGAACATTTTATATGAATCTTCCAGTTTTAAAGAAAAAATTATTCCTCCTTAGGACATTATCTAATGTCTTCCCTTTTGCGCGTCTAAAAATCTTACGTCTTCCTGAATGAGAATGTTGGTCAAACAACACATTCAAATGCTATTGATATTCCACAGCTAACTCAGGTGTGCATAAGTCAACAGCTTGCAGAGAATATGTTTTTAAATAGCAAAGTGTGTTGCTGCTGCTTCTTTTCCTGGAGCTGATACAAATAACATAAGAACAGCTGTATTGGATCAGAGCTAATACAGATGTAGCCCACTATCCTGTCTCCATCAGTGGCCAAAAAGAGATTCCTACTGAAAAGAGTAAGATTAGGGAAAACATGTAGTGATACATACCCAGAATAATCTCTCAGGTCTGAGAGATCTGCAGACCTGGAATTTCTACTTCCATGACTGCATGTTAAGCATAATTCCATCAATTAAGTGTTACATATACGCAATGTGCATCCCTTTGTTTATTTTGGAATTTATTCCTTAAGATATAAAAAATACTTACCTTAAGCAATAACATAAAATATGATATTAAGCAAATATTGCTATAAAAAAGTCCACACTGAACTTTGTGTTACTCATTAATCTTTTAATCAACCAACTTGAGAAGTTGTGGATGCCTTGTCCCTGGAATTGCTCAAGGCCAGTTTTGATCGGGCTCTGAACAACCTGATGCAGTGAAAGGTGTCTCTGCCCATGGCAGAAGGGTTGAAACTGGATGATGTTTAAGTTTCCTTCCATTCTATTATTCTATAATATATCCATGTCAGCAAAAAGCTTGTGTTGAAAATAAAGGTAAGATGATGAATATTAATTTCAGAACTTAATCGTTCTGTGTGAAGGACTTTATCTTTCCTTTTTTCTCTTTGCTAATTCTCTGAAAAAGCTGGTAAGAGAACATACTTGCTTCTGTGATTATGGCAAGCCAAGTGCATTCAAATCTTCATCCCATCTGTGCTAACTAATGTACTGCTTCAAATCAAGTTACTCCAGGATGACAATCAGTCTCTCAAGGTGCAGAAGTGACGTTTGAAAGCCTTTCTGCTTTTCAAACTACAGTGCAAAAATGGGATCTGCACAGTAATCTCTTCTACATACTTGCCTCCTGAGACAGGCTTCTCAGCTGTAATTTAGTCTATCAAGAATTCTTCATCTTTCATATGGTACATTGCATATACACAGCTATCATGGGTTCTCTTTCTTGCTTTGAAACAGCTTACAATTTAGAAGTTGCCACCACAAATTTCTAATAAGCTCAGCTAAAAAAATATTGACCATTTTCTGTTGTCACTTTCAATCCACAGACCCAAGGTATCAATTCATTCTAGCACTCCTCAAAACCTCTTTTATTTTCTATTCTGATGGAGACAAGCAGAACCAACAGGTGCTAATTCATAATTTGGGTGATGAGAGAATCAATAGTTTACCACAGTGCCCTTCAGACATGTTTGATATCTCACTGAATGAAACGCTCGTCAAGGTACCAAATTGAATGTAACTTGAGAAAAAAAACACCATCTGTGAAAAATAACTCTTCAAAGATATCAAACTTACCCCTGAGAATGTGTAATTTTCAGTAATATCAAAAACTTTGTTCAAGTAGAGGGCAGATTCTTTTGCTTACCACATGTGGAAAAATAAATGTGCCATTGAGTATCTGAATCCCAACATCAGATCACTCTTTACTGGGCTTGGCCTAGTTTAATTCATAAGACAGACGTGTTTGTGGTACGATGACCTAGTGGTTAAGCTTTTCTGCAAGAAATTTTTGCACTTGAGGAATTTTGCATATCGAATTTTCCTGTGATGATGAATAGCTCTCTGCCATCTTCGGACCTCTTTCAACTTCATTTACTTTTGTCAAAAGTTTTGTAGAAAAAATAATATGAATGAGAGCAGTATTTTCATTAAGACGTGTGCCCAAATGGTGTGTCCCTTTTCTTAATAATAGCATGCTGTATAGTTTGCAACAAAAAACCACCACAAGCCAAGTTCATACAATGAATAAATTACTTCAGATCGACTGGGGAAAGAGAAGAGGACATAAACAGAGAAGTTGAACACATATGTGCATGACACTGCATGACTTCCTTTCTAAATTTGAGGTCATTGATACATTCAATCAACTAAAATAAATAATTCTGCAAATTCACCCATGCAGTTTTTCTTCCTTTACTTTTTGCACTGGTAAGGAAATAAATTTATGGCTTACCTTTCAAAACCAATCTGCCGTAATGTTTTCTCCCATGTTGAACCTATACAAAGAGAAAAAAAAACAAACACTCTCAGTGAAGAACCCTTTTTTGTGTGAAGACTCTTACTCTTCTCCTTTCCTTGTGCAGCTGGGATCATAAGGAGATTTTTTCACCCCTACAGAAGTACTTGTAAATAACATCTGTTTTCCCCCGAGTGAAGAACTGTTGAGAGAGGCTACCACCGGGTGACATAACTGTGGGGAGGGCTATCAGCATATATAACTCCTTTACATTGCAAAGCAGATAGTCACTGCTGTAGTTCACTGCAATTCCAAGGGTGGTCCACTCTGCTGGAGCAATGTGATCTGTTCTCGACTCCTGAAAGTGCTGAGTTGGCATCTCACATCACGCACTCTTCACATTTCAGCTTTTCATTTTACTGTAGTGTTTGCATGATTCCTGCTGAAAGCTTTACAGCTCCTTGTGAAACCCAGGCCTTTTAGTTTTAAGCAAAAGCATGAAGATGAATTTCTGCTTTATTGTTTAACCCTTCATACTCATAAAAACAGCTGCAATGGACTCTTTCTCAAAACAATCAAGGGCTCAACCCTGCAAACTACTCAATACCACAGACTCATTAAACGAATTGTCCTCAAGATTTCTGATTCACTTAATACTAGATTTTCTCCAAAATAATTTCCCCCACACTCCAAGTATTAGGAGTTTTCAGCGCTTGGCAGGTTTTCTTGCTGGTTGCCAGTCTCCTTTTTTTTTTCTACCTTTATTTGGTCATTGTAAATACAAGCAACTAAGCGCAAAAATATCTCAAGTCATGCAGGTCTGAAGGCAAATATGTAGGAGGATATGAAGATGGGTCAGAGTTTGCTTTCTGCCTTTTTATACTCCTGTGGGAAACACAACAGAGCTGCATGCCGTGTAAGCAACTGCAATTCTTTTTGAATGATTCATCTGAATCATTCACTGAAATCTCAAAATCAGAGAAGAGACAATAATTCCAGTTCCTGATGCATTCCATCACACAAAGGGAAACTAGTAAAATTTAAAAAGGTCCCTGTGAGTGACATCAAGTAGCACCACAGAAACTCAGAGACAAGTAGCAACGTCATCAAGAAGTACTGAGAAAGAGTGGAAATACATGAAGGAAAGCAACTTTGTCTGACTTAAATCAGGAGAATTTCAGGATTAAATGCATATTGTGCAGCATGTTCTCGTACACAGACTCATTCATGCATTAGATTATTTCTAGAGACAACCCAAGTCCTACTTGAAAAATTGGCATGGAGAAGAGTGGTGACATAATACTATCAATCAGAAAAACCTTTGCATATGTATCCCTCAACATCATTAACTTTCCATTCTGTTAAAGGAGTCAATGACCTGCCATATCTGTAGTATAGTATTTATCTCTAATCTGTAAAATGTTAAATATTTGCCTAAGACCTAGTAAATGCTTTGAACTTGGGACACTTCCTGCTAATCCAGATAAGCATCTAAAAACTCAGCTTCTAAGAAATTTTGGGGTTGAGTGGGTTTTTTTATTTTGTTTTGGTTTTTGCTTCGGTTTTTTGTGTCTTTTTTTGTGGGGTTTCTTTTTTGGGTGGTGTGGGGTTTTTTTGACATACCAACTGAAATCTTACTACTCCATTGACTAAACTTTGCAGCTTAGTCCAAGGAGAATGTGGTAAATTTCTAATATAATGATACAGTTTCTGTTTACAACACTATATAGCATCTGTCCGGTTTGTAAATCACAGTCTAGGCAAATAAAAATCAAAATTAATAAACCATAAAAAGTTAATTTCCTACTAAGCCTATGTTGTTCAAAGCTTCCTTCACAGTTTCTAACTGAAGTCTGAAGATTTGATGAGTGTTGAAGAAAAGAAATATCAACTTCTTAAAGCACAGGCCGGTACTGGCATCTTTAGCCAGGGTTCCTATGCTTTCCACTGTTGTGTATATTAGTGTATGAATTTTTTACCCCATGACTGGCTACACTTCAATTATATGATATATAGAGAGTCCTACTGAAGAGAGAGAGGGAGAGAGAAAGAAAGAGAAACGGAAAAGGCAGAAGAGAAAAGGGAATTGGTCTCCATTGGTTTAAAATAATCCTTTGGCTGCAACTGCCTACTAGAATGCATGTGACTCCTCTGAAGCAAAGCTTGCCAAGAATACAACTAACGTATCATATTAAAAACAAAACAAAACAAAAAAAACCAACCACATCTTTTTCTATAGAGTCTTATTTTAAAATGTTTATGATCTAAACATTCAGTTTTAAGTCTTGCCAATTCCATTCACAGTAGTATCAACTTCTACACTACACTAACAGCCAAAAGTAAATACCCTGGGGTAACAGCAGCACTGAAAAGAATAACGTTATTAAAAGTCTAGAAAACCTATTATTTTATTTTATTTAAACCTTACACATTTCTTCCAAAACATTAAACAAGATTTAAGTCACGTAACTCTCATTAAAATAAAAAATGGACTTATTCAAGACATAAAGACCTGATCCTGCTCCCAAAGAAATCAGTAGGAATTTGGCTATTCAATTCAGTCTTTCTCTCTGCTGGGACTGTGGAAAATATTCACCTGTTCACTTTCAGAATCAATCAACTGCTACACTTGAGTTGCTAATTTAATTTGGCTTCCCTATGCTTCCTGCTTTTTACCACCACATCAAAAATACTCTAAGTGTTTATAAGATTCCTTAATCTGGTACCCATGTAATTAAGCTTTTGTTCCAAATGTTTGCCCCAGATCATTCTCACTTATTCCAAAGATTCTGTTTCACATTAACAGCACTAGCTTTAAAATTCTTGAAAAAGATGAACCATAATGCAATTCCAGAATTACTGCTCACATTTAATAGGAACAATGGTAAAATGCACATCATGCACCCATATGCACTCAATGAAATCCTAGCATGAGAATGAAAGTATAAGAATATGAAATTTAATAAGATAAAATTAAAAACATCTTTCTGAAATGCACAGTTGTCTTCTTTGACAGATAGGCTTTCATTCACATGGCAGTTTCCGTATTTGGTTTGGTTTGATTACAACTCTCTGCTTACTGTGAACTTACTATGAGTGAGAAGACTCACAGTCCACTGCTAGGTTGCTCACCTTTACAAACTATGAAGTTGCCTAGCTGCTGAAGCGTGCAGGGGGGCATAGGGGAAACACTGAATAACATATCCATAGAATCACAGAATAGTGGAATACCAGGTCAGAAGGGACCTCCAGGGTAATCTGGTCCAGCCTTTCTTGACAAAAGCATGGTTAGCACCCTGTTTAGCTGAATCTTGAAAGTGACCAACATTGGTAAAACACTGGGTGATTTTCATCCCTTCATGAAGGTTGCCCAGTTATTCACTTTGAGCCATATCCTATCCCTATCTGCCAGTACAGCAGAGATCTGCAGCTGCTCAGGGAGAAGCCTGGCATGCACTGTAAATGCATAGCAGAAATACGTGCCTCCTATGCCATCCCCGTTCAGGTATGCATGAATGTCCCTGCTGATCCTGTGGTCCCTGTGACTGTGTGCAGTGGTTACCCACAGCCTGCTGCCTTCTCACTTTCTTCAGAGTTAGTGGCTACTTTAAGAACTACATGGCTGTGTCTGGCTCTGCTCTTCGGGCTTTCTAACTGTAAGAATAATAATTCTTGCACTCTTCTCTCACTGTGATCTGATACAAGGACCAAAGGTGAAAATATGGCTTTTCTGAACCAAAAGGCATTGTTTGACATTTGCCAGTAAGTATCAAGTGAGCCTGTCAGAATTCAAGTATACAATTGGAATAATATGAAGAAGGCATTGGAACAGCCTACCCAGAGAGGTGGTGGATTCACCATCCCTGGAGGTTTTTAAAAAGAGATTGGATGTGACCCTTAGTGCCGTGATATAGTAATTGGAGTTGGATCAGGGGTTGGACTTGATGATCTTGGAGGTCTTTTCCAACCCAATCTATTCTATGATTCTCTGATTCTATGATCTCCAAAGACTGGAATAGGACAAAATACCTGTAAATTCCATTGACTCAAAAAGACTTTTTCTGGAGCCTGTCAATGGGGTAACACAGAGAGTCACCCAAACTCTATTAAAGGAACCATCAAGGCACCAGGCATACCACAGTCACACTAAGCTCATCAGAATTACAGGCAGGAGTGACCTATAAAAACATGTTATATAACATGTTATGATATATTAGAAACTATTCTTGGAATAATTACTGTAATAGTAACTGATCTCTAACATTTTGAAGGAACAGGTTAATTTGCAGTAGTCAAAATATTACTATTAATTTCAAAATTTTTATCTGAAGCCTATGACACCAGTATACCACGAAATATAAAAAAGGGGGAAAAAAACCCTTTCACATATTTATTCAAGAGATACAAAGCAGCAATATAGAATACTCCAGAAACTGAAAGAAACACTCCATTAAACGTTTCCATTGCAGGTGTCACTTCTTGCCTCTGTTTCTCAAAAAAACAGAGAACATGGCAGAAGTTCTCAGAGTCCAGCCCACCTAGGCTACTGGGGACTCGAATATCTTGAATGCACACCTTAAAGCTCTCAACAAATCGCTTGTCCTGCTACAGTTTCTTTTTCAGTAGAGACACACATACTATATAAACCATTTGGGGGTTTGTGGGCTATTTTCAATGGATTGGAAAACATTGCTCTGCTGTATATTCTTCTTCATCACCTTAATACTTACTAACAAGTAACTAATAAGTATTATTAACTAGCTGAAATGTACACAACTGCAATTGATAAAAACTGCCATATTTGAATCATCTTGGTTTTAGCAGCTTGATACATTAACAGTCTTTCCAACTGTTTTTTCCCAGTAGAAAACTTGTAACTTCTTCCAAACAAACCAAAAAATTATGTTTTTTCAGAAATCCTACCTTATTTTCCTTTTTAACTAATACAAACCCAGAGGTTTTATGAAGCCAAATAGTAGTTTTGACTACAGAAATACATGTGTCATAGGAAAGCACTTTTTCTTACTTGCTGCACCGTAC